CAGGGGCTTTTGATGAAGGAGCAAAAAAATGTGAAGTGGGCCAGGAATTTAAAAGTGAGTGAGGCAGGGCCAGGGAGATAGCTCAGTAGAATAAGTGCTTGCCCGGCAAGGGCCTGAGTTCAATCCCTGGTTCTGTAAAAAAAAAAAAAAAAAAAAAAAAGTGAGGCTTATGAAGTTGCTCAAGTGTAGGGTCCAAGTTAAGTTTAGAAAGGGTTAGAATGATCCTGATAGACATGGAGGGCAGAGCCTGAAGGCCTGGCAAGACATACCCTGACAGGGAGCTTTAGGAATAGGTGGAAAGAAGCTACGGGGCTAATGCTGTGTTGTGGCATGTGGCAATTGGAGATTGCAAAGGTGAATTCTTCCTGAGTGATGCTAAGGGCTGGTGTGTAGCCACCATGTGGGTTAGTGGAACAGAGATAAGGGTTGAGAGCTGAGTAGGCTGGGCATGATGGTGCACACCTGTAATCCCAGTACTGGAGACCGAGGCAGGAGGAGCCCTGTGAATTGAAGGCCAACTTGGGCTACATAGTAAACTGAAGGCCAGACATAGTAATACCTTGTCTCAAAACAAACAAATGAATAAATAAATAAAGCAAGCTGAGTGGCCAGGGAATAAGTCATCTAGAGCACATCTGTAGATGTTTTCTACAGAAGCCAATGAGTAAGTATTGAAGCTTTATGGGCTCCTCATCTGTCACAACCACTTGGCTCTTTTGTGATTTAGTAGCATGAAAGCAGCCCTGGACCAGCGTAAGATGAATGAGTGTGCAGTGTCCTAATAAAATGCATTGACAAGAACAGTAGGTGTGCTAGATCTGGTCTTCGGGTTATATGTAATTTGCCAGTTGCTGACCCGCCGCCATAGTGTTAGGATCACCAGAAAGCTCATTTGCAATACATACCCTCAGTCCCCACCCTAGAACTCTGCATTTAACAAAACCTCCAGGAGGTACAAGAGGGAAATGCATCTTGTTAGAGACAAACTGAAGTCTCTGGAATGATGACCAGTGCTTCCCTTGCCACATATTTTGATATAAGGGGCCCATGTGATGTTGAGGAAAAAGGGCAGGAGGTGATGGGTGTGATGGCATAGGCTTCAGGTAGATGGGCTCAAGAGGCCAGGCGCCCAACATGGGAGCCACCACCGCATCCTGTCCCCTCTTGCTGTTCCACCTCCCCTGTGCCTCTGGTGAGGCACTAACTTACTTTCTCCAGGTGGGAGGCGTTTACTCTTATGACTGCAGTTTTGGCCACGTACCCAATGTGGAACTGATGAAGTTTATCGCAATGGCGACATTTGGCTCCTACCTATCCACTTGTCCTGAGCCTGAGCCAGGCAGCCTGGGTCTGACCGTGTACCACCGGGCCTTTCTGCTCTACTCCTTCCTGCGCAGTGGGGAAGCGCTGAACCCTGAGTATTACTGTGGTGAGAGGCAGCAGGTGGAGAGGGGACTGTGGAACGGGCCCACAGATTATACAGGCTGGGCTGTGAGAAGACTGAAAATCTAACTGAGACTGACTACATGAATGCTGTTCTCACAGTGATTCCTACATAGGCTCTTCCCTCTATAAATGGGGCTTTCTGCTGGGGGTGGGGGTGCATGCCTCTAATCCCAGCATTTGGGAGTCTTAGACAGGAAGATTACTACAGATTCAAGCCTGGACTATGTAACAAGACCCTGCCTCAAAATATACATAAATATGTCTTCCAGGCTCCCAGCATCGCCTGTTTAATGAGCACCTGGTCTCTGCAAGCAGCAACCCTGCCTTAGCCTTGCGCCGAAAGAAGCACACTGAGAAGGAGGTGCCAGCTGACTTAGTCAGCACTGTGTCTGTTCGGCTGAGAGAGGGCTATAGTATCCGAGAGGTCACGCTGGCAAAAGGTAACTAGGCCCCACTTGTGTATGTCAAAGGTCTCAGAGAACTGCTGTGTGGGCAGATACCTGCTGAGCAGCACCTGACACCTGTGCATGCACAAGAGCATGTTACCACGAGAGACCGGGCTGGATGGCTCCAGGGCTTAGTTCTCCTAAGGTCTCCTTTTGCCTAAGGTGAAGTATCCGAGGAGACATCCTTAACTAGGCTTTGTGTTCTGAGTGCTCTACAAACTTCTGTCAAGGTGGTTGTTAGCCTCTGGGGCTGAAACCTCTGAAACCATGCCTGGAGCCTCTGGCCAGCCTTAAGTTCCCTGGGGAAACGGGTAGATAAGACTCAGTCTAGGCCTAGAGGGAGTTGTCTGCCTTCTTTGCTCACTGGCCTTCCTGCTTTCGCTGAAGGAGGGTCCCAGCTGGAGGTGAAGCTGGTGCTGCTGTGGAAACACAACATGCGCATTGAATATGTGGCTGTGGCTCCCTGGCCCTTGGAGCCCGAGGGCCCTCGAGGGACACGGGTGGAAGTGACAATGGAAGGTGGTTATGACATTTTGCATGATGTGTCTTGTGCACTGAGGCAACCCATCCGCTCCTTGTATCGTACTCATGTTATCCGCCGCTTTTGGAACACACTACAGAGGTATGTAAGGTCACCCCTGTTGTGAGATGGCCCTTCTGCTTGTGGAGGGACAGCTTTGGGAAGCTGGAAGCTGGGAGGAGTCACCCAGAGCACCAAGCTTGTGTCTGTGGTTCCTTGGTCCCTTGGGATTTCCCTCTACTGCACCCAAGCTGTGGTTTAGTTTAGCCTTCATTCTGCAGCATTAACCAGACTGACCAGATGTTAGCCCACCTTCAGTCATTCTCCTCGGTGCCAGAGCATTTCACGCTTCCGGACAGCACCAAGAGTGGCGTGCCACTCTTCTACATCCCCCCTGGATCCACCACCCCAGTAAGTGGCACTGCGCTCCCTTGCCTCATACGCCTCCCTGATGGAGCTCAGCTCACACAGCCCCTGGAGTCCAGAAGCTCCCTTTGTGCCTCCTTTCCCAAGTCTGAGGCACCTAAGCCAGAAGCCTCAGCCTCATCCTTGAAAGCAACTCTCCTCTTCCTAAGGCCCTGGAGGAGAGAAATATCAAAAGAAGAGGCTGCCTTTAAGCAACCCCAGGCACCCGACATTCTGCAGGGTGGCTAGCTGGTGATATCCCACCAGGCTGAAAGCCCTTCACCCCATCTCCATGTGTCATACTCTGGCCTCCCTCAACTACTTTCATCTGTCACCAAGAGTTGGGTCCTTGAAGACCGGAGCATCTTTTGTCCTGTGCGCTTTTCATGCTCCGTCCCCAGCTGGCAGCCCAGCTCTGCAGGACATGTGGCTACCCAGGAGTGCACTGGCCTCTACGTGAAGACCTGTCCCCCTTCAGCAACATTCCTCCAGAGTCAGGGACATACTCCAGATAGGTTCTGCACTCATACTTGATTCAGTTTTTAAAGGGCCACATGGTTTGTCCCTGGCTCAGTCATTTTAATCCAGCCTTTTTTTTTTTTTTTTTTAATATTTATTTATTTATTTATTTTGTGTCTGTGTGTGGCCAGCTCAGCCCACCAGGGGGCAGGTCTGGCTGGCATGTGGTGCTGGGGGTTTGAACCGCGGTCCCTGTGCTCTGCTTAGCTTAGCTTGTTCTAAGTAGGTGCTTTAGACCACCGAGCCATCTCACAGCCCTTAATCCAGCCTTTATGCTGAAAGTAATTTATTGCCTGTGTTTTAGAGAGCAGTACCCTTAGCCTTAAGCAATTGCTTTTTCTTTTTTTTTCTTTTTTTTTTTTATGTATTTAATACAGGGTCCACAGGGTTTCACTACACAAATCAGACTTGTAGCGATCCTTCTTGTTTTTCAGCCTCCCAAGCGCTGGGATTATAGGTTTGCCACCATGCCCAATCTCATTCACCATCTCAGTGCACCCCAGGGATGGGGCTGGCATGGCAGGCTGAGGATTGAACCTCCTGCCCCTGGGTCTGCCTAAGCAGGCACTCTAATCTGCTGAGCTGGCTGGCTGGCCCAACAATTGCTTTTTCTGATCCCCTGAACTGAGTCTGCTGGAGCTCTGCTTGCCTGTCAGAGGTTGTAGCGTGGTTTTCCATGAAAGCTCTTCTGTGTCCTAATGTTGTCCTTTCCGTCCCCAGGTACTCTCTCTTCAGCACAGTGGTTCTGACTCGTGCCATGCCCAGTTTGCTGCCTACTGGAAGCCAGTGCTGTCCATGGATGCCAATTCATGGCAGCGTTGGCTGCATATGCATCGCCTGGTGCTAATCCTGGAGCATGATGTGTGGGTGCACTCAGGGCTGGGGCCAGAATTGGGGTGGAAGAGTAGGAGTCAGGGTGAGGAGTGGTGGGAAGGGTACCAACTGTTGTCAAGTCTTCCTGTTTATTAGTATCTATAACCTTAGCAGACCTAGAAAAAAGAAGTAGCAGTCTGTTTCCTTCCCAGTTGGGGTGGGAGGCCAGATCTCACTCATTGCCCTTCTTTCTAGACCCATCCCCAAGCACTTGCACACCCCAGGCAGCAACGGACGCTACAGCACTATCCAGTGCAGGATCTCACACTCCTCGCTGACCTCTCTGCTTCGGGATTGGAGCAGCTTTGTGTTGGTTGAGGGCTTTTCTTACGTCAAACTGCTCTCCAGGTGGGCAGAGCAGCGTCTCCTCTCTCTTCCCCTTTCACCTCATCCCACATCTCCTTTACCCTTAGATCTCCCCCTGCTTCCTCCTAAACCCATTTACTTCCAGCCTTGGGCTGCTCACGCTTCCTATCTCTCCCCAGTGCCCCAGACCAGCCCCCCTCCTCCTTCTACATGGTCCGCATCATTTCCAAGGCCCCATGCATGGTGCTTCGCCTGGGTTTTCCTATTGGCACACCAGCACAGGCCCGACACAAGGTGAGCCGGGCCCTGACTGACTCCCAGACTGAGGAGACCTTGGATATAGACAAGCTCTATTTCTCTACTGCCCCAAGGGCCAGGTCTAGTAGAGAGAGGTGCCCCCGACCAAGTACAACTTGGAGTAAAGTATTCTTTGATCCCATCGGTGGGCCCCTTCTGGACCTGCAGGAGATGGCAGTAAGGGGATCTGACCATGTTTTCCCACAGATTGTATCAGACTTGCAAGAGGAGATCCTGCGCCTTCGTTTCCCCCACCGAGTACAAAGCAAGGAGCCAACACCCAAGGTGAAACGAAAAGGTCTCGGGGGCGTTGGTGGAGGCAGTTCTCCCTCAAAGTCACCCCCCATGCTGGGGCCACAGCAGGCTCTGTCTGACCGGCCCTGCCTTGTCGTGCTCCATAAGCCACTGGACAAGCTCCTCATCAGGTCATGTAGCAAGCAGATTGGAAGGGGGCCTGGGAATATGAGGGAGCCGTATGAGTAGAGTTTGACTAGGCGTTGCCTGCCCAATTCCCAGGTATGAGAAGCTACCCCTGGACTACCGGGCACCGTTCTTGCTGACACTGGACCCCCCAGGGCCGCTGCCGTTGGTGTCAGGCCGCTCAGCTTCTTCTAGCCTAGCATCACTGTCACGCTACCTCTACCATCAACGCTGGCTCTGGAGTGTTCCATCAGGCCTGGCTCCTGCACTACCTCTCAGTGCCATTGCCCAGCTCCTCTCTGTCCTCACTGAGTATGTCATCTGAGCCTGCCTGGCCACTGGGGCAGGGATGGAATGAGAGAGGCCTTTGGGTTTGGATACTGGCAGAAAGCCTGAACCAGATACTTCCCTTCTCTGAGCCTCAGTGTCTAATATAGGGCAGCTGTGCTGCTACCACCCCCCACACACACACACTTTTGGCTTCTGAGCCTAGTTGGCCCTTTTGCCTCCAAGGACCACCACTCTGAGCAGGACCCCATGTAGACAAGGCTTCCAAGATAGCTCTGGGGATGGGTGTGTTGGGCACTGTCCTAAGTATCTCTTCTTCCCTCATCTAACCCTGGCCTGGCCCTGCCCTGCATTTGCGGGGCTTCAGAGTCCGACTCTCTGAAGGGTTTCACTTCGCCTGCAGTGGGGAAGGAATCATCAACATGGTCCTGGAACTTCCAATTCAGGTATGTGCCAACCCTCATGACACCTTTCCCCAAGAGCTGTCATCATTGCGAGTACATTCAGAGCTGGGTGGGGAGTGCTATAAACTTCACTTCCCAGGAATCATGTGACCAGAGGACCAAGGCCTTTGGCCAAAGTCATTGGACCATGGAGTGAGGGAACTAAGGTTGTGAGGGCCAGAGTTATGCCAGGCTAGATTTCTGCACTGGTGAGGATTAGGCCAGTGTCTCCCATTTACCCACAGAATGAGCCACTGGGGCAGGCTGGGGCTGAGGAGAAGCACACATGTGTGATCCAGTACATCCTCTTCCCCCCACACTCTACCTCCACCAAAGACAGGTGAGTCTCTGCCCCCGCTGGGAGCCGCTTCGCTGCCAAGCCTTGCCTTTCCCTGTTGTAGCCGAAATGTCTGGCTCCTATAGCCCGGGAGGCTCTACATCCCAAGTGGGGGCAAGGGAAGTGCTCTTTTTAAATGTGTCATCAGGCAGGCACTAGTCTAAAAGGCTGTGTGCAACTTGGGACTGTCTTCTATGCCTGTTTCTTCTTTCTGGGTCTTGCACAAGATAGTGGAAGGGATTGGATTTCTCTTCTGTGGGCTCAGAACCCTTCTTGTAGCTTCTCAACAGATGATGACAATGATGTGGAGGTGGAGGCCCTGGAGGGTGACTCAGAGCTCAACCTGGTCACTGAAGTGTGGGTAGAGCCACAGTATGGGCGAGTGGGACCTGGCCCTGAAAGCTGGAAGCACCTGCGGGACTTGACGTACTCTGAGATCCCTCAAGCGGTGTGTGATCTCAGAACTATACCCCTGCCTCTTGCTAGGTTGCAGCTCCTTTGGAGACCATAACCTCTGGCTTCTGGGGCCACTAATTCCCTGTGTGCTGAATGTCCATGACTGACTGGGCTTCCTTGAAACCTGACAGCTGGGGCTAGGAGGGGCCAACTCTTGTCTTCTGCTGCTTTTTCCCTAGCTCCACCCGCGGGATGCTGCCTGCATACGCTCCATGCTGAGCTTTGAGTACCTTATTCAGCTGTGCCAGAGCAAGGAATGGGGCCCTCTGCCCTCAGAGCCTCGGATCTCAGGTGGTCTGTGGGAAAGGGGATCCCCTGGTTGGAATCAGAGTCACCCAAGAGAAAGCAGCCTCATACAGGCGATCTATAGCTTACTAGGCAGCCTCATACAGGCACCCTGTAGTTTACCAGGTATCCTGTCATCCTCGCTCCTAGGACTGGAGCAGGGAGGAGACTCCTGTGTCCATGAGATCCCTTTCCATTTTGACCTGATGGGATTGCTGCCCCAGTGCCAGCAGCTGCAGATGTTCTTCCTCCTGCTTTCAAGAGGTGGGTGAACTTCGTAGCCACTAACCATGCACCTAAGGGGCCACCAAGCGTGGGAACATTAGAGCATTGAGAGCAGGTGAGTCAGTGAGGACCCGGTGAGGGAGGAGGCAGGAGGAGGCTTGAAGCTGAAGGAAGGGCACTGTGGGCCAGGGCGGGGCCGGGGCAGTGGGCAGCAGGAGGCTCATGGTGCTGAGCAGAGTGTGTGTCGGGCAGAGCCAGAGGGTGTCCCTCTCGCCGAGGGGCCCTGTCCCGCCAACGACATGGTGCTGTGCCTGCTGCACAGCTGCCTGGGGCAGGAGCTGAGTGACCGGGAGATCCCGCTGACCCCTGCTGACCAGGCTGCCTTCTTGAGGGAGGTGATGCGGCGGCACTGTGGTGACCCAGGTGAGCACCCAGCCTTTTTCCAGAGCGCATGCCAGGCTGACTCTGTCCTCCTCCACCCCAGCAGGGTAGTTTCTCTCTCTAAGCTCTGAGCTCTTCCCCATCTCTTCAACTAAGAGCCCTGCCTTTGCTGGCCTCTCTACCATCTCTGTCTCCATTGTAGGCGTAGAGGGGTCACCAGTGGAAAGTCACAGGACCCGGAGGGATCAAGCAGTCAGCAGTACTCAGGCCACTGGAGACTCCGCTGTTCTTGCCCTGGTCAGTACCAGTTCTTCTCCCTGAGCCTTGTCATACTGTGCTGAGCTCTCCTATCACCATACGTCCATGCCCCACTCTTGGACCCTGAGCACCTTCTACCAGTGACAGATATTGTTTCCTCTTTGTTCTGGATCTTTCTCACTGTATCTAAGATGAATCAGCTCAGGTGGAAGAAGGGAACAAGGCTTGGATATTCCGTGTGGATTGCTCTGATTCCCAGTTTCTCTTTCACAGAGTGTAGGTCCTGAAGCTCTCAGGCCTCTCATCTCTACCCAGTCCCCTCAGTGGCGCTGCTATGCAAGGCTTGTGAACCCCCAGCATGTGTTTCTCACCTTTCTCCCAGCTACCTTCCCAGGTATCACCTTCTGACTTTCTGCACACGCCCCCACCACTACCACCATTGGCAGGATACAAACCCCACTAACATCCCCTCTTTGCATATAAACCCCTGGAAATGGCCTGCCAGCCAGCTCTAATTTGTGTCTTTTCTGCTTCAGATGTCCAGCGTCTGGCTACCTGGGGGCTGGAGGGACCCTCTCAAGATGAAACAAAACCTAAGTTTGGGGATTGGAGTGGAACCCCCAGCATGAAAGATACTGGAATAACTGGGGTCAAGACAACAAAGTCCCCACTCCCCATCCTTAGTGTAACTCCAGCTAATAGTAAGGCTTCTGACTCTTGAGTCATTTAAGCAGGAGGTGGGGAAGCAAATAGAGGGATTGCAGACCATGGGGCACCTTTCCCACAGACAGTGTCCAGGATCCAGGAGAGCTGAGCCCGTCCTTTCACCAGGATTTGCAGCCTTGTACTGGGCATCAGTCTTCCCAGACAGAGAGTATAGATGGGCCCCGGACACGGTGTCCTGTCTACATCTATAGCTGTTCCCTAGAAGCACTCAGGGAACAAATGGTTGGCATGCAGCCCCCTCAAGCACCTCGAGACCTCATCTTCCGGTGAGTGCCCTCAGTACTGACCTGTAGCCTCTCCAAGGCTCAAGTGTACACTACCAGGTAAGGACAAGTAACTAATTGGTCAATGGTAGGGGCTCAGCTTCTTGGCTTTGTCCTGCCATCTTCTTGATTGGCTTCCCTCAGCAAGTCACTCAAACTTGCTGGGTCATGAATACTTTTGGCAGAATCTAGAAATGTTTCATTGGAGTCTGGGTGTCCAGTGAGTCCAAGGTGTCACCTAGGGGCATGGGCCTCTGTTTTACCTCCCATTGCTAGAACTCCATTTCTCGACCATCCCTCCACGTCCTCAGCCTGGCTGGAGCCCAGGCACAAAGAGGCAGCCACCCACTGTGCCTTGCTGCAGGAGCACTCCCAACGGTGCTACGTTCGAGGTGAGCAGGAAGGCCCCGTGAGGGCGGAGGTGGGACTAGAACAACTGTCTCACAGCTGATGTCTATGGACTGTTCTGCTAGGGCTATTCCGGGCCTTGCAGCAAGCACAGAGTGTAACCTGCCAGGATTTGCTGACAGCAGTAGATGCCTGTGAGGAGCTACTGCAAGAAGTAGACATCACCCCTTTTTTGCTTGCACTGTGTGGCTACACTTGGGGTTTGCCGCATGTACCCCCAAGCCCCGGTCCTCTCAGCCCCGGGCTCTTCAGCAGCAGCATCGAGGAGGGCCTAGAGCCTCGGGAACGAGCTATCCTGGCTTCTGAGTCCAGGTTAGGACTGTTCTTGAATGATATCAGAGAAGAGTCACAAAGGCAGGGTGGGTGGTCACAGATTAACTCCCTATAAGCAGGGACCTTCCAGTGTAGGGCTGTGCACCACAGAAGCAGCAAAACTTTGTCTCGGGTTTCCTGCTTCCCACACAGACTGCTTTCTCCTGTTTGCCCGTGGCAGTAATCATCCCAGTGCCCCATATCTAGTCTTGGGGTGGTCTGATAGCTAGTCAGGGCTGGGGATGCCCAGTTACCCAGGGGAAGATGGAAATTTGTCAGGACCTCTATACAATAATGACATTCTCCCCAGCTAATCTGTGTCATAGAGCCCCAAACTGTATTTTACTGACTCCTGAGTCCCTAAGCTCACCTTAGGGCTTAACAGATTCCTGCTGAAAGAAGGAGGAAAGCAAGCAGGCAGAAGCAGCAGTGACACCGAGGACACTTTTAACTCAGAACTCCAGCAGAGCACCCTCTGTGGAGCTCTAGATCCCTACTTGTCACACCCGTCCAAGTGAATGCATTTTCCCACCACACCCTGCTCCTCTCCTTATCTTGCCCATTCATAGTGAACAATCCCACCCTCTACTGGAGATGAAAGTCAGAAACTAGGATTGCCCTCACTCTGTTTCCAGCCCTTAAGAAGTGCAGAGGTTAGGGTCAGAATGGTAGGTTGATTCTTCCTGTCTCTTTTGCCACTTGGGCCATTGTGCTGACATTCTGTAAACAGAGATAGGTACATGTGGCTCCTCACTTGGTAGTTATTAATCCTGGTGCACCTCCTGCTCCCACCCAACCATTCAGCATAGAGACTGAGGACCTAAGCGAGCCTGAGTTCCAGAGTACTCGTGTCCCTGGCAATCCAGACCCTGGCCCGGAGATCTGTCTGACAGATGTCTGCCAGCTCAGAGGAGAGCCACATGATGCCCTTCATGGCCTCATCCAGGTGTGTAGCCTGAGTGCGGGCAGATGCTACGTGTGTGGGGGCAGTATTCTAGTTTGAGGGAGTGTGTGTATTCTGGTCTGGTGGAGAGGATAGTGCCTTCAAGGGGTGGCTGACATCATAGCCTTCTTTAAACCCCACAACAGGAGAAATTCCTGGAGATTAGTCGCCTGCATTTCCGCACCGTGCCCTCCAATCCCCACTACTTCTTCTATTGTCCTCCATCTGGCAGGCGAGAGGTAAGTCCCCTTTTTCTTTCCCTCCCAAAGGTCGTGTTTGGCCTGCTAGGTGCTCCTGAATCTTGATTGCCTGAGGCCTGGATGTGGTGTTTGTCTTGCTAGGGCCAAACTGTCCCTTTTTTTTGGTCCAGGATGAGGGCCCTAGGGATCCAGTAGACAGAAAAGTCAGTGACCTGGAGTTTTCTGAGGCTGAACTTATAGGAGAAGAAGGTGTGTAGGCAAATGGGTGGAAGTGGGAGAGGCTACTACAGCCCAGCATTCTGGGGCTTCCACCACCAATCTTGCCTGTTGACCATTTGCCCACCTCACTAGGAGACACGTCTGCCTGCTGTGTGGTCACTGAGAGTGACCCAGAGCTGGAGGTGGAGTACCGTGAGAGCCGTGAACCAGACCTCGTGCCTATGGGGCTAGACTCTACCTCACTGTCAGATGCAGATACTGTGAACCCGGATGAAGATTCATTTAGTATCTTGGGGGGCGACTCCCCCATTGGGCCTGAGAGCCTCATGCATGACCTGCCACCACTCTTCCTGCACCTCACATGTTCCGTGCAGCTACGTGGGCAGCACAGTTCAGTACCTGTGTGCAGCCTGCCCACCTGCCTGGGTGAGTTTGGGGAAGCCCAGGAGGCCATTCTGGTAACCTGCCTGCTCATCCAGGAGTGGAGGAGAGTCTAGCACAGTGATGGTGAACCTATGGCATATGTGCTGGCCGTGGCTATTTGCTGCCACTGAAAGCTCTAAAAGGTTCACCATCACTAGTCTAGGGAGTATGATAGCACTTAAAATTCGGAGATGTGCTTTTCCTAGGAACCTCTGATTTCCTCCTTTTACAGGCCAGGTGCTTTCCAGTCTAGAGGGCCCTTTGATTGGAGGCCGAGTTCCCCTGAGGGACCTCAGTGTCACTCTAGACGTCTTTGTGCTGACCTTGCCCTTAGAAGTGGAGCTTCCCCCATCCTCAGACCCTCAGCACTACCGGTAGGACAGCAGGCTGAGGGGGCAGGGGGCTGGTGGGAATGGAGGGACCAATAAAAGAACTGAGGGACCTGGGAACTAAAGAGACCTTGAGGAGGCCCAGGATTCTCTCCTAACCTTTGATTGATTGACTTTTTAGAATAGTGTTTCACTGTGTAGTTAAGACTGGCCCTGAACTCACTTTGTAGCCCAGGCTGGCCTTGAGTCCTCCTATCCCAGCCTCTCAAAGGCTGGGATTACAGGCAGGCACCAGCATGCCCAGTATTAACCTTTGATTTTTGCTCCTGCCCTGTTCAGGTCAACGTCTGAGAGCAGTGCTTCATTCCCACGCTCCCCAGGGCAGCCCTCATCTTTAAGGTCAGATGATGGCCTGGGGCCCCCACTGCCACCCCCAGAAGAAGAGAGGTATGTTCTTATCTCGCATTCACACTCCCTCTTCCTCCTCCTGAGTTCCATTTTCTGACAATATCTAAACCTTTTTTTAGGCATCCAGGACTGTCTAATTTGGCCATGCCCCACAGATTGGCTATTGAGACAACTATGAGTGAGGTGAGGACCATCTTTCTGGGATAAGTGATAGCCCATGATGCTGTGACATATAGCTTTTCCATTGTGTGAGTGACATTATTCTCTTGGTCTGTTAGCTTCTACTCTGGAAGTATAGTGATTCTTTGCCAGGCAAGGGAGGTTTCCTTAAGCACCTCTGATGTTGCTCTCTAACCGTAGATCCGCTGGTTGCTAGAAGATGAGATGGTGGGAGCACTCCGAAGAGGGGGCATTCCCCAGAGCCCTGCCCTGCACCGAGTAGCTGCCCACATCCATAGCTCTCCTGGGCGCTCCACCTGCCTCCGCCAAACTCTGCCTCTGAGTTTTGTGTTTGGGCCTGAGCGTTCCCTCACACAGTTCAAGGAGGTAAGCTGCCCTCTGAATGCGAAATGGTTCTTTGAGACCCATCCCTCCCTGGACTCCAGGCCCCAAATTGGAAGACCCTGTCTTTAGTGTGAGTCCATAGAATTATCCCTCCTATCTATTGTCTCACCATACTGATACCCTTTACCCCTGTGCCTGACAGCCCAAGCCACTGGAAAGAAACCCAGCTTCTAACTTTGTCACTGGGCCTGTTGAACCTTGGCAAGTTGCTGAAGCTTTTCTTAGCTCAGCAGTGGGCTAGCTGGCTGCTTTATTGGATCGTAGAGTGTCTTAACAAGGAAGCGTAGGGCATTGTGTGTAGGGAGGACTGTTCCTGCCTAAATACAGCCTTGGCTCCTACTCCCCAGGAGTTCCGCCGCCTCCACCTCCCTGGTCATGTTCTGCTTGAGGACCCTGACAGTGGCTTCTTCTTTGTGGCAGTTGGCCAACAGCCAGGTGGGTCCCGTGGGGAGCCCCCTTCAGCGGCCTGGGCTTGGCACAGCCATGAGGATAAGGCTGAAGGTGTTGAAGGGGAGGTAAGTCTGACCTGGTGATGGAGGGTGGGGTGGTGGGTGGGTAGGGCTGTAACTCAAAACTGACTTCCTGCCCCTCAGGCCCTGATAGCCAACCCCCAAGCCCTTGGTTCCCCAGAAGATTCTGAGGGCACTCCTCTCATCAGCCTGCCACAGGAAGGTAAGAGAGGACTTGGGCAGCTAAGTCTGGTGGACTTGGAGCTTTCTGACCCTGCTTCCATTTTTGGAGGGAAACCATAGTCGGGATCAAGGACACCCCAGGCCTCTCCCTTCTCTACCCAGGGAGCCAGCCTCCGATCACCTGGGGACTAAGCCTCCTGTCCAGCCAAGGCAGTGTGGACTCAGACCACCTGGGTAAGCTGGGGGCAGGGCTAAAAAACTCTGGGAGGGTGAATAGGCTTAGGGCTGTTCAGGGGAAAGGTCTAAGGGGGCATTCAGAGAGATTCGTTTGAAGGTGGACATCAAACATGATGCACTTAAAGACTCAGATGAGTCAGGCTTGGCTAAGGATAGGGGTGAACTTCAGTACATTTGACACAGGTTATGATGGTGGCAGCAGCGGCTCAGACAGTGAGGGTCCCAGTGAGACCCTAGGTGAGAAGGCCTCCTTCACACTGAGGACTCCACCTGGGCCGGCGCCTCCAAAGCCTTCACTCTCAGGCCTGGCTGGACACTGCCTGCCTGACTTCTGGCTCATTGTCCGTGTGCTGCAGGATCGTGTGGAGGTGTATGCACATGCACAGTAAGTGGCAGCTAGGGTCTGAACCCTGGCACTGATGCCTTTTCTGTACCCCGAAGCTGGCAGTAGCTGCTTCTGCACCCTAGTGCTGCTCTTAGCTTCTTTTCCCTGTGAACACAACATTGCTTGACAACGTTGTTAAAAGTTGGCACTGATAGCTTGGGTAGAGACCTGACCTGTATTCTACAGTTGGGGCTTCCAATCTCTTCCCTTATCTTCTACCAAAGTGCGTTGTTCTTGACTTTTTTTGGTACCAGAAATCACACACAGGACTTTGAACTTGCCAGGCAGGCTGTGCTACTGAGCCCTTGGCTTCTTTAATGGAGTTGAAAGCCAGTGGAGATTGTGGCTTTTAGCTGAGCTTAATGCTTTTAGCTTAGCACTCAGAACATCTACTGTTTAGAGCAGTTTCAGAGATTGGAATACAAAAATAAAATAGACAGGCATGGTACACACCTGTAACCCCAGTGCTTGGGAGGCTGAGACAGGCAGAGCACTGAGAGTTTGAGGTCAGCCTGGGGCCTCATAATGAGTTCAAGGCTAGCTTGAACTACATAAGGAAACCCTGTGTTTCAAAAAAAAAAAAAAAAAAAAGGAATAATCATCATTTAGCAAGTGCAGTGTGTAGGCACTGTTCTAGCATATTATATAGATGAGCTCATTTCATGTACATAGTAGCTGTACGTAGTAGTACCCTTATGGTGTGGATAGGAACTCGGGCCTAGGAAAAAACACAGTAAATGACATAGCTGGGATTCATAGCTAAGAATCTGCCTAAATACTGCTCTGTTCTTGGGGTGGGATTTAGAGGAGGGAGGACCGCCATTCTGATGGATACAGGAGAATGAAGAAGAGGTGTGCTGTGTGGTGGAAGCTTCATTGTGGTGCCCGTGGGAGCTAGCAAGGCAAATGCAGAGCCTAAGCTGCTAGAGCAGAACTGCCCTTGAGAATTCCATTTTCTGTAAGGCTTCCTTCCCTTTGTCTGGTCTTCCTTTTTATGATTTCCCTTGGCCTGGGGCCTCATGACTTGCCTTCCCACTTGTGCCATTTAGTCCCTGCCTCCATCGTAGTTCTGTGTCAGTTCTGTGCCCTCAGTTGTCCTTCTTCCTTCCTAGGAACCTGGCTCTGGAGGATGGGGGCCCCAGCACTGAGTGTTGCCACCTGCAGCAGCTTTTGGTGAGGCGAGTTGGGGAGATCTGCAGGGAGGTCAACCAGGTGAGCACAGCCAAGGCAGGCCTTCCACACCTGAGACACAGACAGCTAAAGAGGGAGTTCTTTGGAACTTGACTTTCAGAGGCTACTAGTCCATCTTAGACTTATCAATAACTATGGGATGTTTTCTTCCCTGCCTCCTCCTAGTTCCTGGGATGCTGTTGCTCCCCCAATTCCCTACAATCTGGCAAGCTCCTCGGCCCACCCCAAACAGTGGTGGGTCAGTCTTTCCTTCCCTCCCAGTAACCAAGCTATTCCCTCTTCTTGTGTTCTGCTAGTGTTAGGGATATAGTGTAAATCAGAGGGAAACTTTGTATCTATGGAACTTATGTAGGGCAAGGGAGCTAAACCTTGAACAACTAAAGCACTGACTTACTTCAGTGAGAACTGTGAAGAATTCTACAAAGGAGAAGCACACTGCTGTGAAATAATATCACAGGGATCTGACCATCCAAAGTACTGGGAAGGCTTCTGAAAACACAAGGCCTGAAGCAGGATGACCAGATTCTACAGAGGAGAAGGGGCAAGTGCTCCTTGCTGGGCTCGCTCGCAGAGCCTTGAGCTGTCACTGTGGGGCACCAGCTCTGATCATAGATGTTCTCAACCCTTCACCCCCCAGGGATAATGGGCAGCGAGTGTTCTCTCTGGCTTGGTCTCCCCTGACCACCACCCATTTAGGAGAATACATTTTAGTTTCCTGACACCTTGCTTTTTTTTCCCAGCGACTCCTCCTTCAGGACCTTCACGACAGTCATGTTTGTAACTCTCTTTTGGTGGCCGAGAGTGAAGAAGATCTGTGGCGAAGCGAGATCCCCTTCCACTCGCGCCAGCGGGCCCCACTGCCCAGTGATGGTAGGACCCCACCCCATTGCCTCCCTCACAGGGTGGTTGTGCTGCCTTCTCTTTTACCCAGCTGAGAGCAGGTCCTTAGTACTTTGTCATTGGTGCCGAATAACAGAAAGAAAGCAAAGAGCAAAAAAGAATCCATGGTTCTGTGGGGTTGTTTGTTTTTTGTTTTGCTTTGATTTTGGTTTTTTGAGATAAGGTCTCACTATGCAGTTCAAGCTAGCCTTGAACTCCAGCAGTTCTCCCGCCTCGGCCTCCTGAGTGGTGGGGTCACCAGCGTGACTAGCAGCCCCAGCAAGGCTCCATCGATGCAGATGTTCCTAGTTCATCCGTGACCTTCATAAAAATAGTTTCAGTGAGGAGATGGAATAGAAACCAGGTGAAATGGAAAAGTAAAGAGAGCCAGGGTAGGGAGTAACTGCTCATGCAAGCACTTCAGCAGTGAGGGAGAAGAAAAAATGGATCTGGCAGAAACTAAAGTAGATAGGGGCAAGGCAGGAACCCTAAAATGATTTAGAACTGGGTAGGGTGCACACCTAGAATCCCAGCACTCAGAAGGCTGAGGCAGGAGAATTGCTGTGAGTTTGAGGCCACATAGTGAGTTCAAGGCCAGCCTGAACCACAAAACAAAACTGTCTCAGAAAACAAAACAAAACAAAGTAAAATAAAATAAAGGGCCAGGGAGTTAGCTCACTTGCATAAGCACCTGCCTGGCAAATACAAGGTCCTGAGTTGTTTTGTTTTTTGTGGAACCAGGGATTGAACTCAGGCCCTTGCGCTTGCCAGGGAAGCACTTATTCCACTGAGCCATCTCCCCAGCCCCAAAAAAAAAAAAAAAAAGAGGAACTTGAACATGTTTATGTTCTGCAGGAAGAGAACTTGGAGGATAGGGAGAGTTTATATAAGACAGGAAAGAAGAAATGATTTGAAGAGAGACCAGGCTATGACCTGTCTTCAAGAGTGTGCTGCCACCAGGCCTTGTCTTGTTGCTTGGAATACTCATCTTTCCCTGGAAGGGGAATAGACAAAGATGAGGAGTCTGGAGAAAACCAGAGGAGAGGAGGCTGAGAACCCATAGAAGAACCGGCCTTCCGATTGGCTGACCCTTCAGACAGGTGGGCACAGGCCCCCTGTGGGATTTCTGGTCTGGTGAGGAGCCGTGACAATCTCCTGGAGGTGGTGCTAAAGGCTTAGCACCCTGCTTCTTCCTCTGCCTCCTCACACTCTCACATCAGCCACAAAGGAAGAATGCAGTTATGTCCTTTCACATGTCTCCCTCCTGCTTTAAAAGTAGAATCAGACCACTCTTATTTTTAACACTCTCAGCCAGACCTTTCTAACATCAGTGGGATGTCAGAGCATTGTGGGGCGGTCCGCATATTGAAGTAGAGTCCTCATAATTAGTCAACTCCCATGGTTTTGAGGGCACTTTTTGCACATTGAGAATGAGCCAGGACATGGAAGCACTTTCACTTGAAGATGACTGCCAGCAGCCCGGGATATAAGACCAGGCAGAATGCAGACTCAGCCTTCTGCATTTGTGTCTGTGCTTTTCACTGAAACCCTTAGCAACCAGTAGTCTGTGCCAGTTTCTACACAGAAATTCTGTAGTCTCCTAGACACCCTGTATGCTGCTGAGACTTGACAGTGGTGTATCTGGGAAATGAAACTGTCACCTTCCCTGAGTGTTCCTCATCAACCTAGAGGCCTGAAAAGGATCAAACAAGGTGTTGGACTGGCCCTGCGCTTTTGGACACTGCCACATCACTCCTTGGTCTATCTTCCTCTCCTGGCAGCTGGCCTACATAAGCAACCATAGCCTTTTTATGTAAATAAGGTCACTGTTGCAACTCCCTATAAGGACAGTGGTTGATAATGTCACTGAGGCAGTATGAAGAACCAGAAGCCTTTGTCATTGTTTTTAGGATTGCCTCATGCTTTGCCCTTCTCCATACTTCTTTGCTTCTTCCCTGGGCATCTTTGAGCTAGCTCTGAAAGTCTCTGAGCTGTTACTGTTACCAAAGGGCCAGTCAGCCAGTTCCCAGGTGAGCAGTCTAGAGGGAACATAGCTGAGCATCCTGTCTCTGATCTTGCTCCATCCAGATTATGCTGCTGATGAGAGCTGTGCACCCCGAGGGTACCTGGCAGCCACAATGCAGTTTGTTCCTGGCCATTTCTCCTGTGATGTCGTATGGGGAACTGTGATCCGAGTCCACTCACGCCTCAAGATGGGGCCCAGCATGGGGGTCTCTCGGGGTATGTGACTGCCATGAGAGGGTAGAGTGGGTGGAGGACCTAGGGTCAGCGTTTTCCTCAGCCTGTGTTGCTCCCCCAGCTATCCAGGCTCTGCGCTCTGTGCTCAATGCCTTCTCTGTGGTGAACAGGAAGAATATGTTTGTTTATCAGGAGCGAGCAACAAAGGCTGTGTACTACCTTCGGTATGTGGCCCAGGGGATATGTGTGAGAGCTTGAGTTGGGCATGGCGTGAAGGAAGACATGTTCAAACAGTGCGTCACTCTTTCCCAGGCTCCTGGAGACATCCTGCAGTGACCGGCCATGGGAAGGGGAGGCTCTGCCCCCCTCCCTAGCTCTGTCGCGAAGCCAAGAGCCCATCTACTCTGAGGAGACCTCGGCATGTATCAGACATACACAACATGCTTGCTGCCCTTATCCTTTGCTCCCAGGAGCTGAACTCTGAACATACTTGTCATTGCAGAGTCCCCGTTCTCCGCTGGACATGGCTTCCAGCCGTGGCTCAGATGCAACTCGCCCCGTGGGCCAAGTGGACAGACATATCCAGCTGCTGGTACATGGTGTGGGGCAGGCAGGTAAGGGCCGTGAGGTGTCAGAGAGTGAGCCCTGATGTCCCAGAGTTGTCTGAGTCTTCTCTCTGAGCCTCTGCTCCCTCTGCCCTGTCCCCTCCCCAATTCCACTGTGCTCTGGGTTTTATACAAGTAGGAGCCGAGTGGGAGAGAATGGATTCCAGTGGTAGTGAAGGAGTTGTTTTCTCAGCTGATTGTAACACAGCTTGGGAAGAGATGCTGAGTGACTGGAACCATGGCTGACTGCCTGGGCCTGAGAGAAGGGGTGGGTGGAGGTGAAGGTGACGGGTACATTTTGGGGTGTGCAGAGCCCTGTGCCTTGAGTAATGTATACCCTATTTGAGGCCAAGGCTAGCACATACTCTCTTTTAATCCTTACCATATTATAACTCATTTTATAGACAAGGGCACTAAGGCTTTGAGTTAAAACTCAGGTATCCAGAGTCACAGTGGATATCTTGGTAAAACTAAAAATGGATGCCCATTCCCTCCAGAACTAGCACACCTAGCTGCCTTCAGTATACAGGGTATTGTTGGAGTTGGGTTTAAAGGCTGGTGTGCAGAAGCTGGGTCCTCTACCAGGGTCCTCACCTCTCACTATGGCTGTGTCAAGGTCCTGAGATCACAGATGAGCTCGTCCGGGTCCTGCGTCGGCGCTTGGATGAGGCCACACTAGATGTCATAACAGTCATGCTGGTCCGGAACTGCAAGCTGACCCCAGCAGATGTGGAGGTTCGCTCCCTCCCAGATTCCAGCCTTTTCCTTGCCAGGCTTAGCTGCAGGTGCCGGGGCTATCCAGGCCAGAGCCTATGCATTCAGCTCTCACCCTCTTTTCCCACTCTGCAGTTCATCCAGCCCCCTGGAAGTCTCCCCTCAGAGGTGCTGCATCTGTCCCTACCTGCCTCCTGCAGGCCCTGGCTTCCTGCCCTGGCCTGGTACCTGCGGCAGAACCTGCTTATCTTCCTTCACTCTCCCAAGTACACAGACAGCAACAGCCGAAACCACTTCCAGGTGAGATTGTCCTCACCTCTCTGTACCCTCATGGCACCTCTGACCCCTGTGTCCCTGTCTGTAATACTCTGTCTTGACACACCTTCCTTACTGGCTTGTGTCTTTTGTGCTCTCCTGTACCTATACCCAATTCCTCATGATGGATCCCCATCTTAATCTTGATATTTGATGGCTGTTCTCTCCCCAGCATCCCCTGCCACCACAAAGTGGTTTCCCTGACTTGGACATCTACTTGTATAACAAGCCTGGTGGACAGGGCACTGGAGGCAAAGGTACAGTGCAGGGCATGGGCCCGTGGCACTACCAGGTACGGGGAAGCCTTTCTTGTCTTATGCCCAAGAGGGCTTCTCCCAGCCTTATAGCTGAGGGGGATGTGGAAGGGGCGGCCTGCAGGTACCAGAGCTGAGCCTTCTTGGGCATTTCTTTGCAGGGGTTGCCTGCATCACTCTAGCCTTTGTGGACGAAGGAGGGGCCCCCATCTCACTGGCTCTGTGGCCCCCCTCTTCTCCGGGGCCCCCAGTCCTGCTACAAGAGGAGGAATTTGAGCAGCTGACTCAGGTCATTCGTTGCCCAGTTTTGCTGGATCACTCTTCAGGTGGGGCAGCCTTGTTAGAAGATGGGGTGTCCAGTCAGTGCTTTGGGAGGCAAGGGTGTGAGTAGGGTGGGACCTAGGGGCATCTCAAAATGACCTCATTTTTACTTTAGCTCAGAGTGGGGCCCCACAGCTTCGACTAGACGTGTGGGAAAAGGGAAACATAAGCATCGTGCAGCTGGAGGAAAAGCTCCGGGGAGCAGCCCGTCAGGCCCTGGCTGATGCCATCATAGAGTTGCAGCTGCTGCCAGCTTCACTGTGTACAGAAGACACGCCCCCAGGTACACAGGTCACAGTATTCCACTGGGGTTCAGAGTGTTGCAAGTCTGAGCAGGACAGTGTGGCATGTGAGAGTGCAAAAGTGGGGTTCTGAGAAAGTGCGGAGGCCCTATCAGAAATACACATTCACAGTTGTCTGCCACTTTGTGCACTAACATGAAATACAGTACTAGCAGAAATGACCACAGGCAGCTGGTCCCCCTCTTGGGGAGGGATGGAATCTCAGGAGACATCGCAGACACCGGCTGCTGCTTGCTATCAGTTACATACACTCAGAGGTGGATTCAGGGGGGCAAGGCACTCTTCTAGGGATCCTGGGGCTACCTTGTCCAGAGTGGGGATTCATGATCAGTGCTGGAAGTCATTAGGTAATGTCTGGTGTCCACAGGAGGTCTCAGGAGCGTGTCCCTGGAAGCCAAGAGCCCTGCAGGCCAAGCTAGCACCTTTCCCCCTGCTCCTGTCCCTGGAGAGCCTGTGACTCCACCCAGCAAAGCTGGCCGGCGTAGCTTCTGGGATATGCTGGTAATGGAAGGGGTGAAGTGGACTGCTACCTCATGTTTCCTCCTACATTCCACACCAGTCCTCATAGGTCTCCTTTGAGATAGAACTGCTCTGTACTTTGGGTGGGAGTTTGCAGAGTGTGGGAAGCCCTTACTGACATTGAGGGCCCCCGACTTAATAAATTCTAACACTTTCATTTTTCTTATTGGAACCCTACAACAGCCTGCAAGATGGGTACAGCTTTTACTGGCACAGGACTGACAGATCTGCCTAGGGTAGTTCAGTCGCCAGGCCTCCAAGCCCTGCAGGCTTGTTGCTGTTCTGCTGGGCCTCCATCCTGTCCTGCCCCGCTTCTGATAGTTCTTCCTTGCTGCATTGCCCCCAGAGTAAAACAGAAGGAGATTTGGGTTCCCCCAAAACAACTGATGACATTGTCCTGGATCGGCCAGAAGATAATCGGGGTCGGAGGCGTCACAAAACTGAGAGTGTTCGGACTCCTGGAGCAGCGCCAGGCCCAGATTCTGGAGCCCAGAGGCAAAGGTTTGTGTGTGTGTGTGTGTGCACGTACGAGCACTGTGTTGTGATGTGTTACAGGACGGTATAGATGTGAAATCACAGATAGGTGTTTGATTCCTACAAACATACATGTGTTCTATATGAAAGCTTTTGTATTTTTTTTTTGTTTCGTTTTGTTTTGATACTTGGAGTTAAACTCAAGACCTTGCACTTGCCAGGCAGACGCTTGTGGCACGGAGCTATTTCCCCAGACCTGAATGTGACTTTCTTAATCTTGCTGTACCCCTAGACGCCGGACAACACAGCTTGAGGAAGGGGAGGTGGGGACCCTGAACCCTGTGTTTGCTCAAATCATTCAGCACTGGATGGAGTTTATGGTCCAGATTGGTGAGGCCCGAGCCCTTCTCCCATCCCTCAGCCCCCTGGTCATGTCTCTGTCCTCAGCCCCACACTGACTTCTCTGCCTTACAGGTTGTGCCTCAGTGTCCAAAAACTCCACCCACATGGTGTCCCGGTTCCTCCTTCCATCCATCCTGGCTGAGTTCACCACTCTGGTTATCTCAATGGCTGGGGACACCAGTGTTCGTGTCTTTGAGCAGCATCTGTGAGTTGGGGATCTCATGGAATTGAAGGGACCTTCCTGACACCTAGAAGCTGGGCCCTTAGGAAGTCAAACCCATGTAGGTTGAGCTGAGAGGAGTAGGAAATGTATCAAAGAATGGGCCCATGCTTGT